AAGATAATAACGTCTCTCGTTCGCATTTCTGTTAAAATTCAATGCACAACATTACACAGTCAGAAAGATGAGGAACTCGTGAAAATTGTATGCATATATCTCGTATATGTACAACTACAATAGTCTCATTGAGTCACAGACTCATTTACAAGAGAGACCTGATTTAAACAAACAAACACAAAAAGAAAAAGACGAGATACAACAATAAACATTCATACAGTATAAAAGCCTATAAAATGAAAAGTAAATAAAAGAAGTAGTATGAAACAATATAAAAAAATGCTACATTATAAAACAGTGTAAATTACTAAAAACGGGAACATTGATTTTTGCACTGAACTTAACAGTTGTTTAAAATCCCTTGGGGAGGTCCAAGCCGAGAGCTTCAGATCATTTACAAGATGCTTCAGGATACAGGAGCAGATTAAGGAGTCGTTTACATATTTTGAATGAAACCGCAGCTTTTCTTTTGCGGTTCGGCTGTTTATTTACACGACACCAGCCCCCGCTCTCTCTGACTCCGGAGGTTTTTCAACCCAGGTCTTGAGTGGAGATTTTCTGGGGAATCTCCCACAGAGGTGCTAAATCACATGTGCACTACAGGCGTATATTTCACGCATGCGTGGACCAATGGCATATTTCTATTAACAATGGCACCAGAGTATAACATACCGCTTTCTGTGCTATGACTGATAGAATATATTTTGAGTCACGTAGTTAATCTATGCTAGAATGTAGCTGCTGTGACCAACATCTGTGTTGGAAAAGACACCAGTCGGATCAAGTTCGAAATCACTGAACGAGCTTGTTGAGGCAGACGTATATTTCACGCGTCACGCTGGACTATAACATAATAAATGTGTTAAATAATAATGGTAACAATAATAAACAGTATTCCTGTTAGTGGTGGGAGATGTAATGAAGCTATCTGGACATTATGTAATTCAAGTTATGTGATTTAAACTTTGTTGATAATGTGAAACATATTATGTGCTATTAAAGTTGTTAATGAAGACGTCAGGTTTAATTTCTTTTTAATTCAACACCACACTGTATGTCACACAAACACTGATAATAAACTGAACACACTATTAAAGACACATGAACCAAACTGTAAACTGAACTGGACCCTTCCTCTGCTGTCATCCTGTATACTGGTGCCATGTTGTTTATCTGGCTTGTACAGGCTGCCACTGCTTTGCTTAATGCACCTTAAAACATTGAATGGGTTAAATAAAAGAACTGAGAGGGATTTCAAGTAAATAGTTGATCCAGCATTTCTCTCTTCGATGCCCTCCTTCACTGCCGAGGTGTATGCTCGTATGGAATCGGTCCGGCTCTGTTGGGATGGCAGCTTCTCCTCTCAGAAAAAAAACAACCTCAGTTGGTTTTTGTGTAACCAAACAACACAAGCTAACATTGTCAAGAACGTGGATTTACCTGCTGCAGCATGGCTCGATGGCTACTGATTACCACGGAGTAGAAAGTCCGACATCATCCTCGTCAGTGCTGGTTTGCTCAGAGACCCGTGTGGAGCTGTTAGATGAAGCGGTCCCGCTTGGCTTGAAATCCGTCGACTCGTATTCAAAATCCGGCTTAAGTTTTTTTGTTACTGCGCTTTCGGCCCAGAGGAAAGACCTTACCGACAGCTGTCCCAGGCAGCGCACATGCACATTAGGTGAATGTACAAAAATCACAGTGCCACCTAATGACCTGGCATGGTAATTACAGCAGACTCGGGGTGGGGGTTGTGCAGTTACAGCCATCCATCCATTATCTTTACCCGCTTCCAAATGCAGCCGTGTCAACGAAGAATTTTTACCCAAATCAACATCTGAAAAACTCTGCATTCCCCCGCCCGTGTCTGTGTACATGGGGCCTAAGAGGAAGCCCTTTTGCCAAATTCGGTCCTATTTGGTCAAATTGTTAACCAAAGTTCAGACAAACTGAAGAATAAGCAACAAATGCTAATAAGTTCTTCACTAGTTCTGAATGTATGTCTCTATTGATTTTAATCTCAAAGACAACAAACTTGGTTTAAAGAACATCTTTGTGGAGTGTTTTGTTCAACACACTAAACATTTTGTGGTTTCATGGATGGCCTAACACAAAAAGCTTGACTGTCTGGTGCACTGTTTTAAAAACTTAACCAGAACAAAATAAAAAAAATACCAACCTGATTGTGCATCGCAAAGTATCTGTGGATGTAAAAAAAAAAGCACAGAGTCAGAAACAGATTTCAACCAGTTTGCTGTGAGCATGAATTGATCCCAAATGCAACAAAAGGTGACGAGTACCAACAATATTTATGCAGAAATTTTCACTAAAATTATTTTTTTAAACTTGTTTTTCTAATGCATATTATAAAAGATCCAATATGTAATTTTCTGTATATAATATATATTGTGTTTATTTTATTTACTGAAAACTGATTGTTTTTTTGTAAACTTACATTTCCTCCGATCCCCAGTCCACTAAGGAGCAACAAGACGTGCAGACCTGATGACATCTGTGCAAACATTAGAGTTATTGACAGTTCAGACAGAACCTTGGAGACAAAATAATTCAATCTGCAATATGAATAATTAATAATGAAATGAGTTTTAAATGGACTGTCACTAAAAGTTTAAATGTTCTAATACAGTAGAAACAATGAATTTGGCTTTTGTTGTTTTTGTTTACGTTAACTTCATTTTAACACCAATGCTTTATAATTATAGTCTTGTTAATATTATTTTACAACGGATAAACATAATCAGGCCTAGACAGACTTTTTTCTTTCTGTACTGATGAAGAAAAACAGTCAGATTTCACCTTGTTGTGATGGTTGGTCCAAGCAGCAGTAGCAGCAGCAGCAGCAGCAGTAGCAGCAGCAGCAGCAGCAGCAGTAGCACTTGATGAAAGAAGGATGCCTTTGAAAAGTGGACACAGTGCTTTTATACCTTTACGGTGTGGGTGAACATGTTAGACAACTGATGGCATGTTATGAGATGTGTTGTTTGTCTGTCCGCACCCAGCAGATCGGTGTAGCTGATAATATTGGAGTGGAACTTCTGGTTTAGTTTTCCATGAAAGAGTTTAGTTGAACTTTTCTGAGAACGGGGTCATGATTTTCATCTGGATGTTGGAAGAAAAAAAAAAGACCCTCTATTCATCTTACTCAAAGAAGCCGCACTCGATGACAGGAGAACATTTTTAACCAGTTTTACTTGCAAGGACAGATTTTCACAACAAGTTGCACAGAAATACAGAAGGTATGCACATGAAGCCCAGAAACAAGAATTTGCCACGGGCAGTGTGCGAGGCTTGTTTTTATATGCTTATCAGCTCTCCCAGCTCACAGACAGACTGGCATCCTTGGACTGCCAGTTGTGCCTGCAATATCAAATCAGCTCCTCATCCAGCTCTCTGAGAGAGAAAATAACTCAAACACATGGTTCATGGGCAGTTAACATTAAAAACATCCATAAACCTTGACCAAATTTTCCCACCACTAGATATTACAACAATTTTGCCTGTTTGAGCATTCTGGGCTGCTTTTCTTGTGTCCACAAACCACAATGCCCTTAACATGTATTTACTGTTTTTAGTCTACTGCAGGAAAAAAAAAAACTCCTCTCCTAAAAGAACATATCAGCACAAGCATGGTCCATGGTACGCTTGCGGTACTGAGGATGCTGAATGTATAAGACCTCTGGGAGTTGAGTAAACCTTTGCACTGACTAGATGTACTAATCTTTTGGTCTAAAACATTCAGCATGAATGAACTATTTGGGTTTCATATTTATTACCGACGGAGGATCTTTAATGATGCACAGCAACATTTTGTTGAGAGAGAGAGATAAAAATATATCACTAAACTAAGTTAATTCATCCAGTTACAGAAACAGTTACATTTGTGAAAAGGTGAGATGGTTTTGAAGATTTATAATGTGATGAAAAGATGACATCCAGTCTATGTGCCCACCTGGTTGCAGGATTACCATATTTTCTGGCATATAAGTCGCAGTTTTTTGCATAGAATTGTCAGTCCTGCGACATATGCGCCGAAGCAACTTGTATACGTTTTTTTTTCATATTCATAACTCAATTTTTGACTGATGCTTTAAATTTCAAAGAACTGCAACTGCGAGTCCGCCCATGCATGCTCGTTTCACTCAGCTGGTGGAGGCGGAGGAACGCCGGAGAGCTAGTGGCTCTGGCTACAACGGATGGATGGGATGGTGCCATGCCACCCAGGCGAAATGAAGCTGTTTTGATCATTAAAGTGCATTTAATAAGGAAAAGTTAAACGGAGACAACCCTTTACTATAATGTCAAGCAAACAAATAATTATTTTTAAATGTTAATCTTGTTAAATTTCAAAGAACTGCAACAGCGAGTCCTCCTGTGCGTACAAGCTTCACTCAGCTGGTGCAGGTGGAGGAACGCTGGAGAGCTAGCGGCTCCGACCAAGATGGATGAATGGGGCCATGCCGCCCAGGCAAAATGAAGCTGTTTTGACATCTGTTTCGTTAAATAAACACATAGTAAATGCGACGGGTCAGTGGTGACGCATTATAAACTTATACGCTGAAACAACTTATATACATATATATATATATATATATATATATATATAGTATAGTATATATTTCTTCTTCATTATGCTTTTTTGACTGATGCGACTTATACTCCGGAGCTGGAAAATATGGTAAACATCACAAACAGGATTTTCACTTAGGGATATTTGATGCAACTGTGCATACACTGTAAAATATCTAACCATGAAAATAATCTTTAAATTATTTCATCATGTTTTGAAAACTATACAGAGCAGATGTTTGTCACGCACTCTTTATGTTGAGCTCCACATCAACCCAGCTGAGTTCTGCTACACGTCTCTTTTGGCTCATTTCATTTCTGAAAACTCTTCTGTGTGGGATGTGGCCAGTCCAGATGTGATTTATGAATGGCCGGAGGTAGCTTAAAGATAAACTGGTTTGTGCAACCATTTCAGGGAATTGTTTTGTGAAGAGCATTGTGTAAACAAGTCAGGATCTAAAAACACCAGATACTTCAAAAAGTGGTCCGGTTACAAGAGGGCAGAACTCCAACAAGTGCAATACTTTGTCAAATGAAAAGTGCTGTTAAGCCCTTCACACTTAATGATGATGCTACTACAGTTTCTCAATCTTGTGAAAAGTCATAACTCACCTGCTGGATTAAAGCTGTTTGCTGGTTGGTCTGAACAAATATTGGTTCAAACAGATGGACCCAGATGTTGGGTCAGAGATGAACTGTCACATTTTTTCACAGACTGCTTTGTTAATACATTTAGTTTGCACTAGTCAGCCAGTTTGGGCAGTGCAGTGGCACAGTTAGTAGAGCTGCCACCACTCAGCAAGCAGGTTGCCTCGGTTCAAATCCCAGCCAGAGGCCTTTCTGGGTGGAGTTTGCATGTTCTCTTCATGCATGCGTGGGTTTTCCCCAGGTACTCCAGTTTCTTTCCACAGACCAAAAACATGCATGTTAGACTGATTGATAACTCTAAATTGTCCCTAGGTGTGAGTGAGAGAGTGAGTGTTTGTCTCTAAATGAATGTGACTGTGATTGATTTGCAACCTGTCCAGGGTGTTCCCCGCCTCTAGCTCAGTGATGGCTGGATATGGACACCAGTGACCCCCACGACCCAAAAAGGATGAAGCAGGTAAATATAATGGATGGATGGATGGTCTGTCAGTTTGAACTTCTAAAATAATATTAGTGGATGCTAATAGCTGTCAGCACCAGCAAGCTAGCAAGAACACAGATTTTGGGTTGTTGTTTTTAGTTCAACCTTTTAGCAGCTGTAACTCAACAAAAAGCTCATTTCACCTCATTTTATTGGGGGTAGAAACCTTAATCCAGTATGTTGGTCAAATTGATAACCTGCTGATGTAAAACCACCCAGTTTTGGCTTGGTCCAAATTTTACCCAGCACTGACCTCTAAAGTGGATTATTTTTAACTTAACTGGTTTGTTTGTGTACACGTAAACATACATTTTTATGTTGATGGTGATGTAAATGGAGGTGTCTAATGCTTGTCGGGTTTTTTTAATTTTTTTATTTCTTACTCAGAAGAGCTTCCTGGCAGTTTTCAGTATCACACATTGCATACGTTGCAAGTTAAGAGAGGAAGAACTGTCAGAGGAAAGCTTTGAGTTTACTTTTTTCCTTTCCTCCTATATAAAGTACACCTGTCATTCTGTGTCCATTTCTACTTCCTGTCCTGTCAAACCCAGCCGGTCGAAGCAGATGGCTGTTCGTCCTGAGCCTGGTTCTGCTGAAGGTTTTCTTAATGTTAGGAGGAAGTTTGTTCTTTCCACTGTCGCCTTGTGCTTGCTCAGGATGGGAGACTGCAACGAAGTGAAGATTCATCCAATCTTTATTTATGCAGGTTAATCCCATTGAGCCTTGGGGACTCATTTACAAAAGAGACCTGATTTTAACAGAGTGATGACAACAATGGATAACAAAGACAACAATAGTCAATCATAAAGGATGCATACAAATTAAGAATAACAAGTGAAAATAAAATGTTTAAAAAAAAACGTAACAAAAACACAGCTCGGTGTAAGGCCATGTAGAAAACTAAAAACAGGAAAATGTCTGCTTTGGTTTTTGCCATGAACTTAGCAGATGTTTGAAGTCAGTTAAAGAGGTCAAGGCCGAGAGCTTCAGATCTTTTGCCACGTTCAGTTTGCACTGAGGGAACACTGCAGGTAATAATGTCCTGAGAGTGAATGCTTGTAGCTGCACTCAGAGACATGTAGGAGGAGATGTATGAAGGCAGCAGACCAAGAAGAGATTTAAAGATGAAAATGTACCAGTGGGAGAGTCTGCGTGAAGTTAACGATGTCCAGTTGACCAGTGAGTACAGGGTGCAATGGTTTCAGCACAATCTGCTGGCTTTCTTAGATAGATTAAATTCGATTCAGTTCAGTGAAGTGCCACATCACAACAGAAGTTGTCTCAGGGCACTGTACAAAAACATTCATATACTGGTACATAAAAAGTCAGTTAGTAAATTGGCTTTTTATGTATGTGAATTTGAATACAAATGGCACAATTTGAATATGAGGGCAGCAATGCATCTCTGAAAAGTTGCTTCAAGAGCAACTAAAGGCTTCATCAGTAAGAGGTATGAATCAGAAACAACCAGAAATGGTGCAGCTTCTGAGCGTCACAGTTTCTCCATGGACAAGTGAAATGAATCCAAGTGCAGATCCCATTGGTGAGTAAAAAGGCTTGTTTTATAAACCAGAAAATGCAGGACCTATAGGGAAAGACACCAGCCTCAATCAACTTGAATTAATCACAAAACAGCAACATCTGGGGACAGAAGGTAGGAACAGTTGTGCAGCATGCAACACCTCGGAAACAACACAGGGATGAGAAAACCTGGAAATTTATTTAACCCTGGAAAAAAAGAGCAACAATAAATACAAACAAAACAAATATAACAGTTAAATTAAGCAGAACACCACTTAATCTCACTTAATGGGATTATCAAGTTCCACCAGACTAGAAAATGTCATCACCATTTTTTGATTGTTCGTTTTAGTTCTTTCACACACCAAGCAACAGGGTTTTTTTTGGTCTGCATTATACAGTACTTAAAAAAATCAGTCTTTTCATTGATTTTTTTAAAAAACATACAAAAAACAAAAAAGAAGATAAAAAGACAAAGCATAGAACAAACCCCACCCACCACCCCTTCCCTCCCACACTTGATCAGCCACACACAAACAAATGAATTAACTAGGCACTGACATGTTTTCTACGTACAACATGAAAGGCTGCCAAGTTTCCCAAAATCTTTTAACAGAACCCTTCATGGGTATATCTGATTTTTTCTAAACCTATACGATACATCACTTTTCTCATCCAGTGAACATATGCTGGGGGGTGTGGGTTCTTCCAATTGCATAAACCAAGTCTTCTGGCCAGAAGAAAGCCAAAAGCAATACATCCTTCTCGTACTTGCTGAAGGATGTATCCACAGGGATTACCCTAAACAGTGAGATGAATGGTGATGGGTGTACTGTTTTGCCACATATCCCAGAGAAGGTGTCAAAAATAGATTACCAAAAGGTTTGCAGTTTGGGACAGGTCCAGAATATATGCAAAAGTGTAGCTGGAGTTTGTTTACATGGTTACATGCAGGGTCCAGGTCGGTTTTGATCTTGAACAGCTTGTCTTTGGAACAGTGCAGCCAATGCAACGCCTTGAATTGAATTACAGCATGTCTCAGACAGATTGAGGATGAGTAAATGTTCTTAATGATCTTTCACCAGATTGAGTCTGATGTAGATTCATTCAAGTTGGTTTCCCACTTCAGTTTAAGTGAGTCTAAACTGGCCTCATGGTGTCAACTGAGCAGTGTATAGATCTTCAAAGGGCCCCTTTAGTATCAGACCTGCACTCCAAAATCTTAACTGCAAAATGTTTAGAGGGGTACAAAGGAAAACAATCAGAGTTAGACCTCACAAAATGTCTCAGGTGAAAATATCTGAAAAAACTGTGACTTTGGACTTCTGTACCAGCTGCTCAAAAGAGGCAATTTATCATCAGCATAGAGATTATATTGTGAACACCAAAGTCCATGCTCAATAATCCTGGTATAAAATCTAACAATTTTCAGTCAGGTCATCAAGACGGTTTCTTTTTTGTTGTTGTGCTGAGACGTTTCGCCTTCCATCCAGAAGGCTTCATCAGTCTGAGGAAACACCAAACAAAACTGCTTCTCGCCCAACAGCTTACTCCAAAGTGGAAAAAAAAAAAAAACAGTTACGTTGGTGCTAAGATGGTCTCTGGGGCACGCCCTCTCCTTCAGTGCCCTCATCTTATTTTATGTGACTTCAGAGCTGACTCGACCTTCACTCCAGAGCCCGGCGAGGGCGGGGCCGACGCACCTCCTGTTCCACCTGTTGTGGCGGCTTTACCATGGTCCGAGGCCATGCGGGCAGAGACCCCGTTGTTTTAGATTATTTTAAATTAGAGGCCATATTACAGCTCTGTCGAGTCAATCCTGCAACGACACCAATCTCAGCAGAAGAATCCATCACAGAGGCAGCGAGAATATAATTATAAAAGGCAGTTTGCAGGCAGGGCTGATGGGAGTTTAGCAGAACGCTGCTTAACAATCTGTGGCCATCTTGCACTCCCTGCATCATACAATACTTTTATTGCAAAATATCCTCTGCACCTTATATTGCTATGTAGTAACAAAGCAGGCTACCTTGAGAAATGTACCAGGCAATAGGGAACAACAACACATCTTACTTACACCTCCATCTTACTTACACCTCCATCTTACTTACACCTCCATCTTACTTACACCTCCTTTTCTCCAGGTACTCCAGTTTCCTCCTACAGATGAAAAACATGCATGTTAGACTGATTGGTAACTCTAAATTATCCGTGAGAGAGTGAATGGTTGTTTGTGTTGTTTGTCTCTATGTGTCCCTGTGATGGACTGGAGACATGTCCAGGGCGTTCCCTGACTCTAGCACAGTGACTGCTGGACATGGACACCAGTGACCCCTGCAACAAAAAGAGAAAGAAGCAAATACAGATATGTATGGATGGAAGGATGGATGAAAACATTTTTCACTGCTGTTACTAAAAGTGTGTTAAACACATCTGCGACTGGCAGGGTTTTTTTTTTATTATTATTTTTTTTTACTTTGCCCCAAGTCCATTTTTTTGTGTATTATTTAATGTCTGTAAGATTTTATGAAAATGTGGTGCAATTTAATATAAGACCTGTTTATGTGTGTAAATTTTTGTCAGGTAGTAAAGAATCATTCTCACTATATCTGACATCGGATTATTCCTTTACATTACTCTAGACTGCATTTAATCTTAATGCACTGAATCAAAATTCAAGTTTATTTTCACTGTATTATGGATAGAAAGCTGAATCATATATTGTTAAAGGTTGAATCATATATATCTATTATTGCTGCTCATATATCTTTCATGAATTTAATTATTGGTGTTGTATACAGATGCATATCGTATCTGTCACATACCATAAAAGCATAACCCAAGTATTTATACATACTGTAAATATGGTAAAAAAAATAATTTTAACCTTCTTCTTGTTTTGACTTTTTGTTCCAAGATTTTTTTTTAACACATGATTTTATTTATTTGATGTTGGTATTAAAAAAACACATCAAATGACACAATAAATGCTCCATAACATGTGGATGATCCTTGAAAAAGCAGGTCTGAGCTAACATCATAACCACTAACATAGTACCCACGTGGCCTCAGTGGAGTTTTAGGCTTCATTAAGAAAAGCCCAGCCATGTTGGCCTTGCTTCATAGTACACGCCTCTAGACGTAAATTAATGAGCATCTTAAGCTGTTTTCTTATGTGAGCGGCAGCCTTGAAATTTGTTAGCTGTTTTTCAAAAGAACTTTGATAGTAAATGAGAGAAACTTTGATAGTGAATGTGAAAGCAAGAATAAATTATAGCCTGAAGGGACTTTCATAGAACTGCACTGTAGAACATAGGTGTCTGCAACATTTAGTACAATGATTTGTTCTTGCTGAGAGGTTTTCCAGCCATCTCTTTGGTAACTGCTCTGGAAAATGATTGGGACCATGAATGCATCGAGCAGGTAAACCTGCAGAGGATTCACAGAGTAAGTGTGGATCCCCTTTCTGCACCTGAATGTACAGAATGTGAAGACGACACAAAGCACGGCTGTATTCAGTAAGTAGAAAGCTTGCCTTTCATTCCTGCCAGGCAGCAAATAAAACCTCATAATATAATTATATGCTATTTGATAAAGAGGAACAAAGTTGGTTTATTTGTGGATGCACTGAAAAATAAATACAGCTAGAAGAAATCTGTTGTTTTTACTCTTCAAAGTGCTATATATCATCTCTGTGACTCACTGATCCTTCGTGTGACAGCCAGATGACATCTACAGAAAATATAATATCTCAAACTAATGTTTTTAGATCACACAGCATAACTCATAGTCTGTGACAGGAAAAACAGCCCTATGCTTCAGCATTACTCACTGGGATATGATTGGCCTCATGTAAATGAATAAAAATATAAACAAAGTCAATCCTAATCTTCAGAACTCTGTCCTCTCTGGGACTGCCCTTCAGAGCAACGCTTGCATGTTTAGCCTCATCCTTTCATAATTTTCTCACTACTGATTTATTTCCTGTCACATTCAGAATGGCTTTCACCCACATGCACAGTTCTGCCCATAAAATTCAACCTTACAGGCCAATAGAGGCCAATATGTAAACATTGTTCAAGTTATTCTACTAAAAAATGATGTTTTTAATGAGCAGAACACTTCCACAATAATCAGATGCAGTAACAATAAGAACTGCTTGTACATTTAAAATCCATCATAAGCTCCTTTTTTCTTTTCCCCCCTTGTTAACGGCTATCTCCCTATCTCATCATCATCATCATCATCGCTCAGCCCCTGATTCATCCATGCATGCAGTCAGTGCCTCTTTTATCATGTTGAAGCACAGAGGCTGAAAGCTAATTAATGAGGCTCTGACTTAATGCTCGATCTGCCAGGATTTATATGTCATGTGAGCACCAGCCGGTGGTTGGACAGCACATTAGAGGAAACACATATTACAGCATCCAGGCCTTCTCATCTCCAGCTACTCATCTTGTGCGCCTCGTGGTCTTATGTTACCTCCATCTGTCCCTCATGACTCGTCTTCTCTCATTAGGCATCCTCCCTTCACACCACCCCATATGCAAAAAGGTCCAATGTTTCTATAAAAACATAATAATAAAAATAAGCAGTATGCCAGTGTCCTCCGTTACTGAGGGATTTGAATAGTGAATGTTTGTAGTTTTCTAGGTGAGTGTTTTTCTGGACTGGAATTGATCAGGGAATGTAAGTAAACCTTCATGTTTTTGGTACAAAATATTCAAATTGGTAGGAGTTACACTTTGTATGAAAAATAATGTTTTTTTCTTTACTTGTATGAGGTGGCGTAAAGTGACAGATCTCAGCGAGTGGAGGGAGCAAATTTATGCACTACCAGTCGCAATGGCAGAGCTGGGGAGTGTGTGTGCGTGCGTGTGTGTTGAGGGGGGGGGTTAATGGTGGCCTTGGTCACCATAGATTCATGTTCAGACATTCGAGGAAACTATACTTTATCTTTTATTTACAATATAAAAACTAGAAAGAAGAGTTTCTTAATGATAGGGGTGCTTGTAACAAAAAGTAGTTTATTTAAGTGTACTACAAGTATAACAACAAAGTCCATGCTCAATAATCCAGGTATATAATCCAACATTTTTCAGTCAGGTCATCTGGACAGTTTCTCTTTTTGTGTTGAAACGTTTCACCTTCGGTCCAGAAGGCTTCATCGGTCAAGGTCAGTCAAAGTTTCCTTGACTGATGAAGCCTTCCGGACCGAAGGTGAAACGTTTCAGCACAAAAAATGAATCTACTACTTTAAAAGTAGTACTTTTGTTATGGCCAATTTACATATATGTAGGGTGGCAGCCATCTTGGATTTTGATGTGGCAACCCAATTTTTGATAGGAGGAAACTTTCTCTCGCCTAGATGCAGTATCACACCAAAATAGAAAACGGTACCTCACTTATTTTTCAAGTTTTCATGCTCACAACATGGACAGACAGACTCAATTCAATTCAACCTTTATTTATACAGGTTAGTCTCATTGAGCCTTGAGAACTCATTTACAAGAGAGACCTGTAAACACCCTCCTGTAGACAGAGGGTGTTTACAGGTCTCTCTCTTCGCTCCAAAACGAGATGATCAATGGGGAGGCTAACAGAAATCCAAATGACATTAATGTGAATTCGCAACTGGAAAATTTAGAGGGTGCTCAGTGAAGAAGGTGGTTAGAACTGTTGTCTTGCAGTGAAAGGATCGAAGGGTCTAAACCTGATTTGTTCCTTTCTGCTTGGAGTTTACAGGTTCAGCCAACGCATCAGTTGTTTTTTTTCTCCAGACACTCTGGTTTCCTCCCACAGCCTAAGAACATACATGTTCAGTCAACTGACAACTCTAAATCATTCAAAGGAGTGAGCGTGAAAAGGCTAACGATTGTATTTTTGCTAAAATATCTCATGAACTGCTGGAATAATTTAATGTCTCTTTCAGGTATAATTCTTAGAATGTGCATCTACAACTAATTAACATTTGGAATCAACTCATTGAAGATGCTTGAGTCAGTCATAGATAGATAGATAGATAGATAGATAGATAGATAGATAGATAGATAGATAGATAGATAGATAGATAGATAGATAGATAGATAGATAGATAGATAGATAGATAGATAGATAGATAGATAGATAGATAGATAGATAGATAGATAGATAGATAGAT